CTTAGAATTCGGAACGGGAAAAATATTCACAGAACTGTGATAATTAAAGTGGTTATTAAACCATTAAATGTGAAGTAGAACATTTTGAATTTGAAAGACTAAAATAGTATTTACTCCAAAAATCCTCTTTTTATTTACAACTTCGATAAATCACGTTTTACAGTGCATAGTCTGCAAACACACAGTAAACAGCTGCTCTTTCTCTCCAGCCTGTGAAAAAGTCCCGTAAAGAGCTGAAGCAGAAGCAGAAGCAACAGAACGCGGAGCAGCAGCTCAGCAAGCTGGAGGCGGAGCTCATGGACACGTCCGTGTGTCCGGACAGCACAGCAGTGTTTGAGCGTCTGCTCCGGACAGCTCCCTCCTCTGGCTGCAGTACATGGCCTTCCATCTGCAGGCCACGCAGATCGAGCAGGCGCGCGGTCGGCGAGAGAGCCCTCAAAACCATCTCCTTCAGGTGAAAGGCTGTAGTTTAAGATGGTTGCGATTAAATTAAGTACAACTTACTACTGCTACAGGAAACATGTTTGATAACAGCCATTATTGCAAAGAAATTACGTGTTTTTGATCCAGTTATTATTTGTGTGTGATTTTGCTTTTCCCTGTTTTTGCATAATTAATTTAGTAGTTGTTTTAAATGACAACACAACAATTAACCGGGTTGTTTGTGTTTTTAGAGAGGAGCAGGAGAAGCTGAATGTGTGGGTGGCCATGCTAAATCTGGAGAACATGTACGGGACACAAGAAAGCTTGCAGAAAGTCTTTGAACGGGCCATCCAGTACTGTGAACCTCTTCCAGTGTTCCAGCAGCTAGCCGACATTTACGCCAAGTCGGACAAGATCAAAGTAAGCATTATGTCCAGTCATGTGATCTGTATGCGTGTTAGTGAGGATACAATGATATATATTTTGGCTTAAGGGTGGGCGGTCTGAGCAGATTTGTTCAAAATTTTACAGTCATTACGTTTTTTTTATTCGGCAAGGCATTAAATTGAGTGACAGTAAAATATTAATATTGTTACAAAAGATTTGTATTTTCAATAAATGTTGTTCTTTGATTTTTCTGTTCATCAAAAAGGATCCTTAAAAGAAAAAAGTATTGCGTTTCCATAAAAATAACTGTTTTCAACATTGATAATAAGAAGAAATGAAGGATCATGTGACACTGAAGACTAGAGTAATTATGCTGAAAA